CATTGTTTATTTCGATATATAGTTTCCTAACTATTGATTGAAGGACACATATCGTATATGCTGCCCTTCTCCCAATGCTGCCACATAGCGGTGAACGAAGACTATTTGCACAGTGTGTTTTCATCACGTGCTCATTCCTGACCTAGTTTTTTGTTCTCCAGTGTCATGAGCTTGGTTGATTTTGTTTCTGCAGCATAACATCGTTATCGGAATTGTATAATCACAAATTGTATTATAACAAAGCAGTGACAAAATGCCACAACAATGTTTAACAACAAATCAGAAACATCAGTTTATTCGTGAATAATGGGCACTGGAGACCTTATCAACTATTTTCACATGTGCACACAAATGAGGTGTTCCCCTTCCAGGAAGTGAGCGTGTCACCACGTCCACGATTAGTGTTCAGTTTTACAACCATTACAATGATGAGAAGGCAAGAAAATATTCACCGAAAGAAATTGTTTTTGGTTACGGTAAAAGCCAAAACAACGTCTTAACTACGAAAGTAAATACTGTAGAATGAACTAATATGAAGCACTAAAAGATAACGAATGTTAAAGTTTATAGAATCACGATACGCGTGTTTTTAATCTCTATTTTTGTCTTTTAAAACATTATGAAAATAAAATCAATACAATTATGAATATTATTTAACAATGCTGAGTTTTCAAATTTATTAATTTTTGGGAAAACGAATATAGTAATACAAAGTGTAATAGTCAAACATAAAAAGCAAAAAGAATTGTAAGAGTAACACTGCATGCTACACTCCGATTAAAACAGAGGACGAATTTACAGCGATCGATTGGATAATCACGTCCTAGTTGATTCAAAATCAATTTGGGTCCTGTTTAATCGAAGAATATTCAACATGAAAAGTTAGCGAGGTGTAATCCCATCATAAATTGTGTTAATGCAGTACAGTTAAGGCAGTGAGAAAATGTATCCAATGTGTTCCAGTGGTTCCAACAAAAAATCACTGTTGGGACCATTGTTGAGAACATTCCGTAGTGTTCTGAGCATTTATATACATCATTTATTCTTATTGTAATTTAGCATAATTAAATTTTAGTAAAACTTCAACAAGGCGCACCCACAGTTCGATCCAGTTGCGGCCAACGCCGACCACTCCGGTTGCACATCTTGATTTTCTCTTTTGCTTTCACGGCGCGAATACCGGCAGAGCTACCTTCGAAACGAAGATCCATTAGTTTTGCCGGCTTATGTAACTGGGGGCTCCTTTGAAAGGCGGTGGTTCGAAAACTTCTTCTTCTGAACACGCACTGCGCGCCAAACACCTCTTCACGGCCCTTGTTAAATACCCAACAATGGGAAAGTAGGTAGAGGCCCCGTAACTGCAAGAAGTGGACATGTTCTAGGCGTCATTTACTTCCTGTAGTTACTCTTAACCAATTCGTGACTTGAAGAGTTAAAATACAGCTAGTGAATTACTTGAAGCGGTGACAAGTACAAATGCACGTGTATTTATAAAACAAGTCAACACTCATTTACGATTATGTATTTGCTGTCAATAGGATTCTTTCACATTACATTTCGCCCAAAATTTCCGATTTTATAAAGCCAATATTCATAAAACATTTCACCATAAATGCAAGAAACTAGGATTGATACACGAATCGTAAGTACAAAATACACTACTATCTTATTGTTTTGAAAAAGAATTGCAGAATTTGGAAATGTACACTCTACAACGTACTAACAAATTACGCTAAATATGAACAAAGTGATGCGATGAATACCGTAAAGAAACTATAATTCTAAATCACAATTCAAACATATATGTGGTGTAATTAATGAAACATTAAGAAACACAGTTATGAGGGACAAATTTTCTCAAATTTATAAAGTTATGTTAATTCCTACTAGCACATGTGGGAGTAAGTAATTAAAAATAACTATTAGGGTCAGCTTCAAGAAGCTGAAATGTATTTTCTGAGAAGATTGAAAGGGTTTAGGGGAGAAGACAAAAGACATTAGGAATGAATTAAACGACTTTTGCCTTCCCGATAAGCTAAAACAGTACAAAGCACACTGGCAAGAGAGTGTTGGCAGAATAGAAGATAGCCGATATCACGAAGCTATTATTATAACACTCATACATTCCGAGAGGAAGAAGAAATGTGGAAAGACCTAGAAGCCGAAGGAAAGATATTGTCAAGAGGCCGGAAAAGGCAAATACTTAGACCATCAAGTGAAGTCGTCGACGACAGCAACGACGAATGAACAAAGCAAACTAAGGTTTCCTACCATGGTGAAACGTTTTACATGACGATAATGTAAATGGTTTAAAAAGAGAAAAGAAACACTAAAATTATTGATCAATATGTAAATGTTTCAGTGCTTTTTTTTATTTTATTTTTAATTTTTTTTCCGCTGAACACGTTAAGCCAATCTGAAATGAAATAAAAATCGTAATGTAATAGAACTGTCATATCTCCTGCTTCAGAAGCCGGTTTATTTAAATACATGCATTGTAAACGATCGATGATGTCACAGGACTACATACGCACAACACACTCAAATCACACCTTTTGAGTCTTTATCAGTACATCCCACACATGAAACCCAATGTAACTTCACAAGATGGGGCACTTGCCCTAACAGCAAACATTTACCAATCATTTCGCGTCCAGCACGAAAGACTACTTCCACGCGCCTCCTCCGCCGCGATTTACTTCGCAGCCGGAGCGGACGAGCGGCCAGCCGCCGCGAGAACGTTACCTGCGCCGTCGCCGCCGCAGATCTCATCGCCCGGCGGTGGCGCTGGAGGTGACCGGGCGCCCCCGGATCAAGGCCGCCCCGCTCCGAACCGCTGCGTCAACGTGTGGGTCGGGCGAGCACTTAACCCAGCGGCGCGGCCGGCGATCACACGACAAACGCACACAACGCGAGGTTCCGCCTCACGTCCGCTCCGCTCGTCTCCGGCTGCCCCCCCCACTCCAGGCACCTCCCACGCGCGAGCCTCCCGGCACTCGCCGGAGGATTGCGCCGGCCCTGCCGCCCCTATGTTTCCTTCTAGCACCGCTGACGGCGATGCGCTCCATACACATGAACCTTGGTGCGCGTGAAATTGGGGATTTTCGAGATGAGTGTGTTGGAATGCGGAATTTCACGTGCGTTCGAAATGATGGTCGTTGTGCCTCATTACCAGTGAGCGGATCCGGCTGATCATTTTGGAGGGACATCACATATTTTTGGTTTAATAATAAACATATATTTGTTACTTATATTTATTGTTGAGTGCATATATTATATTATACAATATTATTTGTAAATAATTACATAACTCTAACATAAAAATTAAAATCAATTTTGCCAAAGAAAGGAAGGTAACAAACGAAAACTTTAGGCCTTTAGGGAGGCCATGCCCCCAGCCCCACCTCTGGACCTACAACTTACGTACACGTAGGCCGATTTTTTCTGTTGCTGAATATCCAATCGAGCCATTCAAACTGCTAGACGAATATAACAAAATATGGGGATATCCAGTGGACGATTGCGCATCTCTTTCACCATAACCTCAACTGTTATCGGCGCCATATCGCCAATTTTAGCGGAAGATGGCTGATACGACTGACGATCCTGGTAAGTTCGAGCAAGATAGTTATGCGCTGTCTTTACAGGGCTCCTGGGGTCATAAAACTTCTGGGGCAAATCGTACGTGGTAGATCACGTATCGCAGTCACTGCGATAGCCATGACTTATCGCAGAATGATTTTCATCTCTTCCTCGAATTCAAGAATTGTCGACGAGACGAAAACTTCCAGCCCAACGAGGAGACTCGAAGCAAAGTTAAAGTCCATCTCGCATCACGGGCGGCAACGTTCAACGATGAGGGGATTGAAAAGCTTGTGCACAGATAAGACAAATGCTTGAATCTTTACAGTGATTGTGTAGAAAAATAACCTGATTGCAAATAACATTATGTAAAGAAGGCATTATTTTCTTTACTATTACACTTTTTTTAGTCGATCGGAGGTTAAAAAGACAGCCTTCGTGTGTCTAAGATATACAACAAGAGTCTTTATCGTTTATTTGTTTCTTTCTTTCTTTTTCAGCGGTTGGGTAAAATATATTAACTATATTGCAAATAACACACTTCCAAAAGCTCAGCTCACGTATTCAAATCTCTCTTCAGCTAACTGTTTGCAGCCCACAGGATTCTATGCTTATTATTAAGTATTTTCTAAAACTTACTTGGAAATTTAAACAGAAATTGAATACATTATAATTTAAAAACCATCCACTAAATATGCATTATATTTTAAAATACACGTCACGTTCGACAAAAGTCAAAAGTGCGTTTATTTAATGTTACTTAATGCACAGTATTCAACCGATATAAAAATTTTAATTAACAATGAACCTTTTCATAGAAACTTGTGTTTAGATAGTTTTGGAAACCAGACATTTGATTCAAAATTACAACAAAATATTTTGATAAAACCATACATCACTAAATCAATACTGAAAATAAATCGCATTAAACAACAAAATATTTTAGATGATAGTAGAAAAAGGAACAAATGCAATTTTTGAAAATTCACGGATTTTAATGAAAATCCTATATTTACTAAATGAATAAGCGAATCGTTTCCAATTCTAGCAAAAAAAAGTCATTTGGAGCCGTTTTTGTAAAAACAATTTGAAAATGTCCTATGATCTTCATACAAAGTTCCTCTTAAAATTAAATTATTATTATTATTATTATTATTATTATTATTATTATTATTATTATTACAATTCGCAGAGCTTCAAATTACGCTAAATCGATTACAGAATATTCCTTGTCGGAATTCATGTTATGGTTTGGGCGCTAGTGTTGTTCACAGGACGGATGAACAAACGTTTCTTTGAAAACACGTTTTTCCAACCAATCGCATCAGATGAACGAATTAGCACGATTTATACAAGCATAGATAACTGAAAATCAAAGCAGTAAAGAAATATACCGAGATTCATCGACCAAGGTGCAAATGGGCAAAGTCTGCCATAGGTGCGGCCGACTGCACGAACGCAAGTCTCAGCACCACGCCAGAAGGCAAAGTTCCCAACCTCCGTCCTGTGGCTCTATTCGTCACAGGTTAGCCATTGTCGCTTGCAAGAAGAGGCGTGACATCACCGAACCAAGGCAAGCGACCCGCCTCCACAAATCAAAGCCTTCATTCGAGCTTCAAGGCAGCACTACTAAAAAAAAGGCAGAAGATTCGCATATCACTTTGGACTAATGAAAACTTTGCCATTATCTGAGAAACAACTATGAAAAAGGTGTGTTTTCTAATTTCTTCAAAAAAGAGAAAACCGAAGAAAAACTTCCTGAGAAAAGCTAGAGGAAAAAAACGCAATATTCATTTCCTTTATTCTAGGCTCTCCGGTTGCAGAGGAAATGCTAATGCATAGCATAGATATCTTGAGAACCATCTCTGACATCTAAAATGCAACTCGTACTTCTGCATCTTTATTCATAAGAAAATGGAAATTACACCTACCGTGCCGTTCTCAACAATACTACATTTGCAAGGACAGGATGATCATTAATTAGAAAAATAGCTACACCGAGGTTCTTAGGGGGTCGGATGAGTGAGTGGGAAACAAGTTTTGGTATCCTGGGCGACAGACACAAGTTTGCCAGTCAGTTTGCAGTTCAATTAAAGTGAATTCTCAATTACGGGGATGCGTTCAGGAAACAGTTTATCTTAATTAATATACTCATGCATGGAAACTAGAACTTCCGTTCACTGGTTATCGATCTGTAAGCAGTACGCTTACGACAAAATAGCATTTGGGGGACGGTTGTCGAAAAACAAACCACTGGGTATAAGAAAATAAAAAACTAGGACATGAACCAGCGTTTCTGTCGTCTCGCCTATGGTGAATGTTTGCAAGACTATTTACTTGTAAATTTCCATGATTGCATACTTAAAAATACTCGTGCGAAACTATTTTTCGATCTTCCTCTCGATCAGGTTTTTGTCCAGTTTTCCCTGATCCATTGAGCAAATGCTGAGAAGGCCTTTGTTTTGCTACTGGACGTAAATGTAGTTTCACAACGCGCACGTTTTGTTGAACTCTCCTTTTTCTTGTAGTGGTAGGAGTAGAGGTAAGTGCGAGCTACTTTTGTTAGCAATGCAGAAAAATCATATTTGCAATTAATTTACCGATGCAAATAAGTTTTTCATAACTCGGGAAAGAATATATCTAGTTTTTTTCAAACATTACGCGCTTTTTTAAATTTATTTTTATTTATTTATTTATTTACTTTAAACGTCTACTCATCTTTCAACTATTACAGTTGAAATGATGGGAAGGGATTCTGGAACTCAAGAAAACGTGCGCAGATGATCTTCTCCTCCATACGTCACACACAGTTTTTACTGTTTTTTTGACTAAATAAATCTAGATGTGAATACGAGTATACACACATTTCATTGTTTCCGTGATACCGATCATAGATTCGCCAACCTAAAGAAAACGCTCCCCTCTCTCAAAGCTTAGTCTCGACAACGAGCATGCGTCATATTTCTCCCGCCCCCGCTTTGGAATTCCCTACACCCGCGATACGAACTCCAAGATGCCAACGCATGCCTAAGGATTGAGACGCTGCTGACTCGAACCCGACAAAGAAACCAGTGTGCTCTGCACCTACGTAAAATAACTGGTCTGCGTTAGCAGAAAGAGACCCACTCACATCGAATGTGTTTAGAGGTAAAGATACATTTACTTCTCTATGGGCAATACCATGTTAAATGTTGGTTTCTTTTGTACAACACTTGTACCGATTTGAAGGTCGAAAAAAGTAAGCTTGAGAGACTTCTCAAATCTCTATGCTTATTATGGATAAGTACATCCATTGAAATGAACTGATAAGTTCGATTATTGTACAAGTATGATACTCCTTCTTAAGAAAAGATTTTTGAGATGCGCCAGAGGTTGTTCTGAATTACCTTGTAAGACGTTCTACGCTTACAAGAATGCCCTAGAGTTCAAAAGTTCCTATAATTCAGATACTTAATTTAAAAATGCGCTAATCGCTTTTGAGAAGCTTGTCAACCAATTTGATCAACCGACAGCAGTGGAAAGTAGAGACGAGATTGTCGAAAGGGGAATATCGAGGTGGGTAATTGATTATTATCGAAGAATTATCTTTCAACAAAGAGATGCAGCATAAACATGTGGTAATTAGTTACGATATTTACTCAGCTTTTCGATAGTTGATAAATATCTCTCCGATTTTAGTTGTTTTCTTGATTTGTCCAGAAATAACACGATTCATTCTAAACGTTGTTTCATATCAATCACTTCAACACTATCTTAAAATATAAACTTGTGAAGAGTCGGAAACATCAACTTAATTCAGAACAAGTTTATGTGAAAAAACACGTTTTTGACTGTTGATTGCTAGCTGGAAAGAAATATTTATGTCACATTTTGAAGAGACAACGTTCACTATTCGTCCGCTGAAATATCGATATTCATACATCCAGAAGAGGTGTAATTAATGCCCCGTAATGCAAGGGGAAAATAATTTAATTTAGGGAAATGCGATAGTGAACGTGGACAATTATAAACATGAACAAGTTGCACAACGAATTGTAAATTGTCTATAATAAGGTACAATTACAATAATTACAGTATGTCCGGTAACATTGAAAGAAGCGATAGGTATAGTTCCTTATAAGCCGAGGAAGAAGAATAATACTATGGAAATTAAACTGATAATATCACCATAAATTCGATTCTCATTCCTGGAAACATGAACTCAATAGGCTGATTCCGCATGGGGTAGGTAAAAACAACCTCTGTAACGCGCTCTATTGACAGACCTTGACTGAAGAATCTCCCGCCAAAACGGGCCGCGGGACGCGAGTTTCAAGTGGAGTGCAGACACAAGCAGCGCTGTGAGCGTCCCAAACACGGGATTTTTCGTCCCTGAAGGATACGCGAAAGCGCCGCAAAGGCAAGAAGAGAGCGCGCCCGCTGTTTGCGTTGCCCAGACCCCACACGCACTCCGAATGTCCTTTGCAGCCGCCCCGGGGCCGCCCACGTAGACGCGACGCACCAAACACACCGAATGCGCGCGTGGCGTATTTTCGGTGATTTCTCACCCAGCCATTTCAAGCAAGGCGAAGTCTTCTTCTGGAGCCGTATTTCTAACGGATGTTTGCGACCAAACACACAGAAGACACACAATGTCGTAACACGGTCCACAATATAGTAACATTTGAAACAATAAATAAATAAGTAAATAAATAAATAAAGTAAATAAATAAATAAATACGTAAATAAATAAATACATAAATAAATAAATACGTAAATAAATAAATACGTAAATAAATAAATACGTAAATAAATAAGTAGATAAATAAATAAATAAGTAAATAAATAAAAACGAACGTGGAGCCGTGTGCGTTAGAATATGAACTTTGTAGGGTCGATGTATATATTTTGTAGAGGGGATAATGTGTGGATGATTACTGTCATGACATTCCCTTGATCGCTCACCTCTTTTCATCATTATTAATAATCTGTACAAGAAAAACATCCGATGGCGTTCTGTAGCGCCCCGGACCGACGCCGGAAACAACACGAGACAAATCACTATTTAATATATCGCCTCCTACGAGATGTACAGAGTTGTGAATTTATCTATAAAATAGTAGAGGACGAACTACATCACACTAAATCGACAATTTTTATCACCCACACAAAAACAAAAATCTAGAGTGTTTTTCATCTCCGACATGTAGTTTAGGCAGAACAAACACGAGTTGTTTTTTGGTAACAAATATATGACAAATTGTCGGGACTTAGCCACAGAAAAATTGTATAATTTCAAATAAGTACCAGCCGTTTATCATTCATTTTCTTAAAGGTTTCTGTTTTACTTAATGGCAAGAGATGCATGATATGCAATATTTTCCCTTTTCACCGAGAATGAATACAGTGCAAAAATCTCTCATTCAGTTTCGTTGTCTTAATGTCATTTCATTAACTAACGCAATTTTTTTTAATGTATAATATATAATGATATGTATAATGAAACCTCCCTCAAAGACCACCCCTCTCAACGACCCTTTTTTTCTTGGAACGGACACAACTCTATACACTGTATGTAAATCGTACCCCATTATTATATAATAATATACTTTATATATACACATATGCATACATACATTTCTAGACACAAATGGGAATAAAAAAGAAATGGCATTATGGGAATGCACCGCACATTCCATCGTCACAATTCTGAACTTCTTCAATTTCGACCTACACGTTCGTGCAAAACCCCTTTCAAGACCCACATCGAGGCGTTTTGTTTTAATTGTGCAAAGTGTGAAAAAGTTAGTTTTTGGACTCGTAAATTATAGAATGAGCCATGCATACTCAAATATCTTACTGAGACTACACCAGAAAATAGGGTTTCGTTGCCGGTAGTTAACTATAAAGCTTATTTTTAAACAAAAGGAGATATGATTTCTTTAAAATGCATTTAAAAAGATAGAACATCTGAAAAATTATTAACACCAAAAATGTCAAAACAAAATTTCTTCGAAAAGTTTAGTTTTTTATAATCCGTGCACGGATACTAAAAGCCGATATATGTGTTCATTAAGTGAAAACGGGCATTTTCCTTGATATCCGATACGTATTAATAAGAGGCCTTTTTTAATACATAATAAAAAAGAACATTCCCCTGTTAAGTAAATCCTCTTCTGAAAGTCCACTTTTTTCATGCAATCAACAATGGTCACTTAATACCAGTTTCGCTGAGTTCTATTCAAGTACTTTATGCGTTTCATACGGATGCAGATGAAAATAGCAGACAATTCTACCTAATCAACGACTCCATCTCGCTGCGTTTTCATTATCTCGCTCCTTATCTCCAAAAATATGCACAAACTTCGAGGAAACAGGCTACTTCCCGTTTTACAAGCGCCTTTCTGTTAATTTGGGGCGCTGAGTAAACTACTGTTGTTCCACTTCCGTGAGGGCGGAGACGGTGCATGGGGTCGCGGACGGGGCATTGACGGGATGGGCGGGCGGGCGGGCGGGCAGGGCAGGGCGAAACCACGAGCACGTACCTCTCGTCACCGTCGTAGGCAGTTAGCACGGCAGCCGCGCAGCGGCACGTCCCCACTCACGGCGACACACTGGAAACCGAAACTTGGCAGAGGACGGAAGGGCACTCCTTGCGCATCGACCAGAATTGTTCTTGGAGAGAAAGCTA